TTGATTCATTGGCTGAAACAGGATTCTCCACCAGACGGCTAAATTAGGGTGGGGCTGGATGCTCTACGCAGCTCAATGAGAAAGGGCGTATCAGGTAAGCACCAACGCCCATTCTCCATAGAGCTGCTCCGAGTATCCAGAGTGGGACATACCAAAGCATGGCTTGTCCTGCGGGAGGGACTCCGTCTGGGTCGGAATCTCCTCTGGTTCTCGAACAACTTGTTGTAGGACTCGACTGACAGAGGACACTTCGGCTGAAGCAAACCATCGACCATGTAATGACGAATGAAAGGTGACAGGGACGACCAGGTGGCCGCTCGACAGATGTCATTAATCGATGCCTGAGTTGCCCAAGCTGCTGAGGTAGTTGCACTCCTTGTGGAATGTGCGGTTATTCCTCTGGGAACAGGAAGTGCTTGAACTAAGTCGGCCTTGAAGAGTGTAGCTCTGATCCAACGGCCTACAGTTGACGGGGATACTTTGAAACCCAGCATCTTAGGTTGAAACGAACGGAATAATGATTCCGACCTCCTGAAAGGCTGAGTGCGGCTGATATAATACGAAGCGCACGCCTGACAATGAAAGAGTGCCAGTGTCTTTCCCTCTCTCTCTCTCTCTCTCGGGACTGGGACAACCGTTAGGAAGAAAAAGTTCCTGCGATCTGTGAAAGGCTGAGTTAACCTTGGGCAGGGAGGAAGGGTCCAGTCGTAGGACGACCTGATCAGCGTGAAAAACGCAGAGATCCTTCTGGCGGATAGAGCTGCAATTTCAGATATCCGACGAGCAGATGAGACTGCCACTAGAAACACTACTTTGAACGTTAGGCACTGAAGTGATGTCTCCCTTATGGGTTTGAAGGGAGGATTAGCAGTAACAAGAGGACCCAATTAAGATCCCAAGTTGGGTATCGGTGTACCACTGGAGGATGCCAGCTGGCAGCTCCTCTAAGGAATGCTTGGATATGAGGATGGTAGAAGCGAGCCAATATTGCCACAGGAGTTGATGGTTGATAAAGTTGCAACATGTCGTCTCAAGGTATTAGGGGCTAGCCCTTTATCCAGTTCGTCTTGCATGAAGGCTAATATTTGTGCAATAGATGGAGAGAGTGGATCACTATGTGATTGCGGCATCATCTACCAAAAAATGTCCCAGGTGGCATTATATATACGTACGGGTGGTTGAGGGCCGAGTTGCTGTCAGAATGGTATAGATGGCCTGGTTGGCAAACCCTTCTTTCCTTAAACAGTCCTGCTCAACCTCCCGACGGCCAGTTGAAGCCACCGCAGGTTTGGATGCAGGAGGGGTCCCTGGGATAACGAGACTCTGCCCGGTGGGATTCTCCAGGGAAGGGCCACTGACTGGTTGCGAAGAAAACAGTGAATACGGATAGGAAAGACTCTAAGGAGAGCCATCAGAGCCGCGAGGACCTTGATGAAGGTTCTCGGGGCCGAGGCCAAGCCAAGGGGAAGGGTCACATATAGAAAGTGTTGACTGTTATAGCAAAATCGCAGAAATTTGAAACAGGAGGGTCAAATAATGAGATGTAGGTATGCCTCAGAGGGATCAATGGAAGTGAGCCAGTCTCCCTTCCTGATACCCTGGAGAATAGGCTGTAGCGTGTGTATCCTAAATTTATGCCGGAGAATGAACCGGTTGAGCCTTTTCAAATCAAATATGGGCCTCCGCCCTCCAGAGTGTTTAGGAACGATGAAGAGGTGAGCGTAAAACCCTCTTCCCTGTTGCGAGGGTGGGGCAGGCTGTAGGCCTTGATTCAATAAGATGCTGGATAGCGGCAACTATTAGGCCACGTTTTGTACGATCTTTGGAAAGAGGGAGTATCCTGAAATGCTGGGGGGGGGGGGATTGAAATTCAGGAGAAGGAGGCCGAATTGATAGTGTCCCTAACCCAGGCATCCGATGTAAAGGATTCCCATTGGTCAGTAAAGTGTTTGAGGCATCCACCAATGGGATGAGGAGTGAGGGACTTATCTGGGGTGCCGGAAAGGTTTACTGCCTGCACCCCGAAGGGGTTTCTTGTAGTTGGAACCCCTTCAGTTCTTATAACCGGGGTCGGTTCGATCCTGGAGTTGGGCCAACCGAAAAGGCGGGGCTTCTCTGAAACCTGGGAGAGAAAGCTGTCTGATAAGATGTTCGAAGGGATCCCCTCCGAAAGGGGATACTCTGCCTTCAGGTCTGCAAAAGAGAGACGGAATAATTTTTTTTCTATTTCAGCTTTCCATTAATAAGGGCCAAGGGCCGGACCGAAGAGATTGCCCCCCAAGATGGGAGCAGAAGCCAATTTAACTTTTTGTTTTTTTAATTATTATTTTTTATATACGTCTGCTTGCCAACGTTGGAGCCAAGGCAGACGCCGGCTGTGACCTGGGATGAAATAGCCCCGGTGGAAAACTTAATGGCATGGATAGCGTCAGCTGAGAATTCTGCTTCTGCCGTAAGCTTGGCAATGTCCTGGTGTGGCCTAGTATTGGATGGGGGGACATGCTGCTTTGATTGACGGAGCCTTCTAATGGAGGACCGTGTAAAGAAGGATGCATCCGTGGCTGCTCGAATGGCCCAAGTATTAGATTGATGCGCCTGGCAAAACGCCAATTTGGCCCATTTGTCCTCTGGCTTTAAGGCTTCCAGAGCATCGCTTGGGGTAGAGGATGGGTCTAACCCCACTATGGGCCCATCAACCTCGGGAGTCTCAAACAGGGTGGAAAACTCCACATCGAGATTAAAAAATCTCCTATCCCGATTGGAGGGGGTGGGAGGCGCCACTACAGAAGCTAGTTGATTCGCTACCAGGTCAGAAAAGAATGGGTAGAGTAGGAATCACTTCAGCCTCCACAACCGGTTGTCTGAAGATGGACTTCTCTGGATTACCAGAGGTTACTGGGGCAGTATCAGAGGATGTCTGAGACCCCAGACCAGAAATATCTTTTGCCTTAAACAAAAAGGGCTTGAACAGGTAGGGTTTGAACAAACCCACGAATGTGGGCTGGTCAGGGGTAATACCCACATCCTCCGACATTTCTACTTCCATTGGGTCCACCTCTGAAAGAGGTTCAGAGTAGTGCACGGACCCCATATCAACTTCTTCCTCTTGCCTGAGTAACCCAGGCCTGTTTCCTTTTCCTCCTCCTTCCCCCTTCTGGAAGGGGGAGATACCCCTGGGGAAGTATCTGACCCCGGTGAGGTTTCGGTCTGGGGAAAGATCTGCGAGAAACGGATTCGATATTAGGAACCATTGATGGTAGACCTGGCCTGGTCATCTGCTGGAGATCCTCTGCGATATCTTGGCGGATAGCCAGCTGCATCCATTCTCCGATCTTGTCTGGAACCGGGTCTGCAGATGGTTCATCTTGCCGTAGGTCAGCGGCTGTCGGAGTAAAGGTAGCCCCGGATGTCCCGGTGGCTGGTGTGTCAGCGGATGGATGGCTCTGAGTGGGTGAGCTGCGCCTGGGAGGAGAAACCTGGCCTGGAGAAGAGGTAGATGAGGTGGGAAAGTAAGTACTGGGATTATCAAGCTTGAGCCCCTTGAACGTTTATCAAATTCCTTCTCTAGCATCTTGTGGCATTTTAACGCCTCTCTCTGAGAGCCTTGGGTGTTCCCTTGGCCTGCCTGCGCAAATGGTGTGCCTTCAAGGAAGGTCCTCTGGGGTTGTCCTCTGCCATAATAAAGAGCAAAAGTAATGTATGATAAAAACCAAAGAAGGCGGTTGGCTCGCCTAGGAGTTCGACCTACAACAAGGCCGGATGTCCCACAGTTGGTCCAAGTCCCCCTTTTGGAAAAATTTTTATCCTTAATATTATTATTATTTATATCTAAATATATAATTTTTATTTATTTATTCATTTATTATTATTATTATTATTTAATAATAATAATAAAAAAAAAAAGAAATGAGAATATGAACAATCCAGGACTAGAGTACCGGAGTACTATAGTATTTAATTCCAGATGAACAGAAAAACACACTTAATAGATTAGAGAAAACAGTCAAATTAGCCAAATGAACGCTGAGGCCAAAGGAAAATAAAAGAGAAGGGTGGGCCTCGTGCAGTTGCCTCCCAGCCAAAATGGGAGGTATTGGTACTGCCTCTACTTCGCCTCTGAGCAGGCTGCGGGATAGCCAACAAGTTATAATAACAGGCAATAGGGCTAGGAGCCACAATGCCTAATCGATCAAAGGGGCACTAAACAGGCCTCTGGTCCTGCTTTGGGCCTCAGAACTGTCACCGCAGCGAAATTAGTTGAAAGAAAATGGCGGCCACCATGAGGCAATGCCCAAAATGGCAGCCGAAGTGCAAAGGCTCAGAGACGGAATCTTTGCCTCCTCAGGAAAAAAAGCAGCTTAAAATGCAGCGGAACGAGGGGCAGAGAGGAGGAATCGCTCTCCTCTTACATAAGGCGTTCGTGGGGGGAAAGGAGCAACAGCGCACGAAGAAACGTGCTATGAGGAAGCTGCTGCTTGCAAGCAGCACGGCTTCAAGGCAACAGCAGGTAGAAGGAGGATGGGGGGGCGCGAAGGTGCTGTTCTTCCCCCGTTTTTACCCCCTGTGGGGCGAAAAAAAACGCTGCTCTTACAATGAGCAAATAACCCAGTTGCGCAGGGGCCAAGGACTAAAGGGAAAATTCAAACCTGAACACAATTTGCTAGATTCCTGAATCGGCCAAGGAAGTCTGCTAAATGCTGCCTGTCTCTTGCGAGGCTGAGCTAAAACTGGGGAACGCTACCAGGGAGTCACATGGACGGCGAGGAGCATTCCTTAATTAAAGCTCAGCCTGTGAGTGCAGAGACTGGAGCACCTCCCGCTCTGGATGCTCGGAGCAGCTCTATGGAGAAGGTAGACTATAATAGAGGCGATCAACAACAGAATAGCTGTTTACACAAGTCATTCTGGTTGCTCGAACAGGACACGAAAGGGCTTTTAAGTGAAAAAGCAAAATGAAGGAGTTAAACTTTGTAGATTGAACTAAATTCACATTTACCTACCATTGCTAACCATGCGTCTGGCTACTTCCCAGAGGACCAGTCCAAATGCCCAAATGTCAACTCTTTTGTAGGAGTCAAAGCAGTCCACCTGAATTGTTTCATCTAAGACTTCTGGGGCCATGTAACGCTTGGTACCTACACGGGGGTTGTTCCCAACATCCAGCTGATTGGTACTTTGAGAATGCATGACGGACAGACCTATAATTATAAAGAAAAGTTATTGTGACGTGTCTCTTTTTAAAAGTTAGATCTATAATAGTTTTAAGAAGGAAAAAAAAAATCTTGAAGGCATTAGCTGAGTTTGCTGTGACACATACACTTCAGAGATCGAGTGTTTATCATCCCAAAAAATCCAGGCAGACTCCAGTGGAAAAACAGAAAGAGACCATCAAATGCAGCAGCAATTGAATAGCCCACAGGTACTCAGCCAGAGTCACTACTGTGGAAAGAAATCTGAGCAAGCCTTGGGCTCATACATTGCACTTTCTCTTATCGACTGGTTATAAAAAGCTTCAAAACTTTCCCTTTGAAATTAAGCAGTATTTACTACATGGCTCAAACTCTAAATAACTTAGTAAAAAAAAAAAAAAGATAAAGGTTTTCCTGTCAGTCGTGTCTGACTCTAGGGCACAGTGCTAATCTCTGTTTCTTGGATGAGGGAGCCAGCAATGTCCAAAGACATTTTCCATGGTCAAGTGGCCAGCATGGCTATACGCTAAAAGCACACTAGCTTCCCACCAAAGTGGTACCTATTAATCTACTCGCATTTGCATACTTTTGGAACTGTCAAGCGGGCAGGATAACAGTAGAAATAAGCAAATTTCAAGCCACAATTGATTTCAGGTGGCTTGTTTTCAACAACCATGATAAATTTTAACTACAGTTTCTGGTCTTTATGCAACACTTTTACTATGATAAAAAGACACAAAAATATGACCTTACAATAATCAGGAGGAAGGAAGAGAGTCTGTAACTTTGCCGGTTTTAATAGTCTGTTTTAATAATCCTAACCTTGGCTCAACATTGCATGCTGAGTTGTTATAGGCTTCAAGGAAGCTAGCATAGGGCTCTTCCAACAGTAATTAATTACTGCTATAGAAAATGCTGGAAAGGAGTTCAAGGGGTTGAGGTCCAACACACCTGAAGGATATCAGATTGAGAAAGAAATCTCTTGTGACAGACCTTCCACATTCAGAAAACAGCACAAGATGCATCCAGGAGCAGCAAAACTTTTGGGTGCTAAGTGCCCTCTAGTGGATGCTGAATCTTCCTAGCTCGCTATCAAGTAACACCAAGGAAAGCACGATCGACGTCCCTTCTATATATACCTCACTCCTTACATAAATCATGTAGCACCTTGATAAACTTTAACCCACTTTAAAGCCTAGAAAGCTCTGTGATTTATATTTACATATTGAACCTATCTGTTATTACATTTGCTCTTGCTCTTTTATAGTTTTTGGCTGGTTTCTTGGTTTGGCAACCTAGGTACTCTCCCAGCGATAAATTACTCATGCTGGCCATGCGAAAAAGAAAACAGGACGTTACTTACCTAGATCTGCAATGCAACACTGCCCATTTTTCTTAACCAAGATGTTTTTACTCTTCAAGTCCCGGTGAGCAATGGCAGGTTTTCCTTGGGTCCCGAATATCTCACTGTGCAAATGAGCAAGGCCACTAGCTATGGACAAAACTATTCGTAAGCAGCTCACAGTGTCCAACGTTGTCAGCTGCAGGTAGTCGTAGAGCGAGCCCATTTCATGATAATGTGTGATCAGCCACAGCTGAGTGCTGGAATTCCGTGATGTCATGTCTGAAGCAATAAAACCTGAAAGGGACAGGGACATTCCTAAGAAAGGCAAGTTGTCAGATATTTCCTTCTTCATATAATGGTCATCATCTTAGAAACCGGGAGTAAGTAACCTTGGATCCCCCCAATGAGTTGGATTTCAGTTCCCATCAAATGAACCCAATATGGTCAATGAGGAGGAACGGAGTTCCAAAACATCTCCAAAACACCAGGTTGTTGAACCCTGAACAAAACTCTTCCCAAACTGCAATATTCCCCATTATCCCTAAAACCAGTGAGAACAGAATCTAGGCTGCTCTAAGCACAAAAGACAAATTCTATTACTCCCTGAACAGACTTCAAAAAAGGGTATTAAGTGTTCTCCACTAGTTAGGGCTGAAAATGCTCAAAATATTACTATTTCTTGCTCTTTTCATCAGTACAGGTAGTCTTTATAACGGTTGATTTAGTGACCGTTCGAAGTTAGAACAGTACTGAACAAAGTGACTTATGACCATTTTTCACATTCATAACCATTGCAGTATCCCCATGGTCATGATCAAAATGTGGGTGCCTGGCAACTGGTTCATATTTATGACGGGTTGCAATGTCCCAGGGTCATGGGATCCATTTTTGCGACCTTCTGATCAGCCAAGTCAATGGAGAAGCCCGATTCACTTAACAATCAGGTTACTAACAATGGCAATGATTCACTTAACAACTGTGGCAAGAAAAGTCGTACAATGGGGCAAAACTCACTTAACAAATGTCTCATTTAGCAACACAAATTCTGGGCTCAACTGCGGTCATAAGTCGAGGACTCCCTCCCTCTTCTTTTCAAGTGAGCAATTCCTGCGTTAAATGATCATCGGGATGTGCAATGCATTGGAATCAGTTTGGGAAAAGATTCTTTGGAAACTGCGACAGTATGAATAAACCTAATGCTTATGACTCATTGAAGCAGCTGCTTCGCTTTCTAAGATGGCCTGTGTAGCAATGAATTCACAGCCAAGTCCCCCTGTGGGCTATTGAAGCAATTTTTCTGAATTGAATCTGAAATCTACAGAATGATGTATTAACCTACTTTAAATGCTAGAGCTTGGAGCTCATCTCCCCTGGCAGAAACCCAAGAAAAAAATTTTTTCCTAGCACCTACAACTTGCCACTAGTGTGGGGAGCTGTTCTCTGCACCAAAACATACACATAGACTACCCAACTCAGCCAACTCTTACATTTGCTTAAGTGCTCAGTTGGAAACACAGCTGAAGCATTTCCCAGAAATGAGAGAAGGCCTGTGTAAGACTAGAAGAATAATATATTGAACTGGATTTAAAATTTGGGGGGGGGGGGGGAAATAGCTTTGATGAAGCGTCTTCCCATATTGACAGTGGAAGCTCTAGCCGCAGTTCCACTAGTTACATTTCTTCACTAGAAAGAACGTTACATTAAAAACAAATGTGGGAAGATAACAGGCATATTTAATTCTACCAGATGTACTGAAGGACTCAGATGACAGAAAAGCACTTGAACACTTCCCCACAACTCAACCAAGTGGCTCTTGAAGTAAATATAGATTAGCTTTAGCTACCACCACCACACTGAACTATGGAAATAACTGTACATAAAGCACTTCAATATATACTGTATTCTATGCAAATAGCTCCCAACACATGTATCACATGTACCCAGCAACATAAAATCCATCTTATCTCTGCTGCCCCCAGCAATGTACCACTGCAAATCTACCCTATTGTTCCAAAGCTAAGATGTGTGCCCTGGCACTCGTTGGACTAAAGTTAAACCCTGCAGAGGGTTGTGCATGGCTTCACATGACACATCACTACCAAAGAATGCCAAAAGACAACCGCAGGCAGAAAGCCTAGAAGGATCAGGTCTGAACTGCGGTGGTACCAAAAACGGAATCAATTCTACAGACCAGCTGGCCTATGATTAAATTCTGATTTTTCATCCATCCACTCATCTCCAATGGTTAGGAGGAGACATTCTACTGTATCGCCCAAATACCAAGTATTAAATAAAGGGAAGGAAATGTCTGCAAAGGGTAAAACACAGACCTCTAATCTGGGTTTAAAAGACCTGCCTTTGAAACACCACCCTTTATTGGAATGCCACCTAGCAAGCACGGTTGAGAAGTCTACTTGGCATTTTTATGGCATTTTATATACTGCAGTTTATTTGCAGCGTAAATGCTTTATTCCATCGCAAGTCAGCTTTTCTTTTTTTTTTTATTTGTAGAATTATACCAATGTGCCTAAAGTGGCAGGTTTAATTGCTTTCTGGGGGGATCAGGCCGAAGAATAAATTGCTTCTAAACGAAAAGTTATTCTCTATTATTGGGTCTCATTGAACTTTTTTTTTTTTTTTTGGAATTCCAGAAATTAAATGTACTTCTCTATTTCTTCAAGAAGGACTAAAGAAAATAATGAATTGGGTGGTCCCGGCAGATTTGGGCTCTCAGTCCATCCACAGAGCTCTCCTCCGATCAGTCCCCCCCAAGCAATGGCATTCTTCTCCCCACCTAAAATATTTTCATGCCTCAGCAACACGGTATTGTATAATTCTGTTTCTCTGAACCAGGACTTTTCATCTCGGGAAGAAAAGATCTTGACAGCAATGCTCTCTCCTTGCCATTGTCCTCGCCAGACTTCTCCGTATCGGCCTTTCCCTAGAAAGCATAAACAAAAGAGATTTTTTTTTTAAATCAAAGGAATAGAAGTTTTTTGGGCTTATCGCCCAAACCAGAAATTGTATTCAACATTCCTATTTATGAGCCTTCAAAGGTTACACTGCTGGATGGAGGGTACGTCTGAATCTCTACCATCTCCTTACGGCAAGGATTCGCAACTTCGCAGGGACCTTAACACCCTCTAAAAAAAGGGGGCAAACTTGTATGCACCTTATCATCCCATGAGTGAAACCAACGATATTAGAATGAGTCAGAAACAAACCAGTCATCTTTCAGTAGTTAACTTTTCACCCAGAGATCAAATAAACCATAGCAACAGCACTTAAGACTTATATCCCGCTTCTCCGTGCTTTACAGCCCCTCTCTGAGCGATTTACAGAGTCGGCATATTGGACATCAATGATCATGAAAAAAACTTTGCCAGTTTACAAAAGGAAGTCTTTTGACTGAAAATAAATGGGAAAAGTCTGGCCTAATGGGAAAGGGGGTCTGGAATATGGATTGAATTTTTGAGGCAGCCACTTTCATTTCTCCTATTATTATTATTATTATTATTATGGACCTTCATAGCAGCAATATAGAAAACCCAAACTTCACAGTTGGCTTACCTAACCAGAGTGGAAAGGCATTCTGGCTTTGTGTACGCAGTCTGCAACGCTCCTCAGGTGGGCTCACAATACTCACAGCAACAACACAATGCTTGTTACTCACAGTCTGAATCCTGCTGGCTTATAGGAATAAGGTTCAAGCCTGAAGCTGGGCTAATCTAACTCCGGAGGTAGCTGCATCCCACTCCAGATAAGCTCTCACATTTCAACTGAACTACCGTTCCCCTCTATTTAGCAAGCAAATACAAGCAGTCCTTGACTTACAACCACAATTGAGCCCACAATTTAGGTGGCCTCAGTGGCGCAGTGGTTAGAGTGCAGTATTGTAAGCTACTTCTGCTGCCTGCCTGCAATTTGGCAGATCGAATCTCACCAGGCTCAAGGTTGACTCAGCCTCCTTCCTTCCAAGGCGGGTAAAATGTGGACCCAGACTGTTGGGGAGGGGCAGCATGCTGACTCTGTAAACCGCTTGGAGAGGGCTGTAAAGCACTATAAAGTGGTATATAAGTGAGTGCCATTGCTATTGCTAAGTGAGGCAGTTGTAAAGTGAGTTTTGCCCCATTTTGCAAACATTTCTTCGCACGGTTAAGTAATAACGGCATTGTTAAGTGAATCTGGCTCTCCCCATAGATTTGGCTTGTCAGAAGGTTGCAAAAGGGGATCACGTGATCCTGGGACCCAGTAACTGGTCATAAGTATGAGTCAGATGCCAAGCCAAGCATCTGAATTTGGATCACACGACTATGGGGATGCTGCAATGGTCGTAAGTGTGAAAAATGGTCATAAGTCACTCTTTTCAGTGCCATCGTAACTTTGAACGGTCACTAAATGAACTGTCGTAAGTCGAGGACTATCTGGGACACGAGAAACATTGTGATCTTGTCAAACAGCTTGACTTAATTCTGCCTCAACTTTTTGCTTCTAAAACCTGTGGGACGAAGTTCGCTGTAAGTGACTTACAAGAATGTTCTTTCTGCGCCAACTCAGAAAGCTCAAACTGCCCAAGGAGCTGCTGATACTAGAGGAATGATTGAGTCTGTCATCTGCACCTCTATAACTGTCTGGTTTCGTTCTGCAACCCAACAGGACAGACACAGACTTCAGAGAATAATTAGGACTGCAGAAAACACAATTGCTACCCGCCTGCCTTCAATTGAGGACCTGTATACTTCAGGAGTCAAAAAGAGGGCTGTGAAAATATTTACAGACCCCCTCACATCCCGGACATAAACTGTTTCAACTCCTTCCCTCAAAACGACGCTATAGACCAGTGGTTCCCAAACTTTTTCGGTCCACTGCCCCCTTGGTGCTACAAACTCATCCTCGGTGCCCCCCACCCAGGGGTGGGATTCAAATTTCTGTGGGTGTGGTCTAATTTGAGGGTGTGGTTTACTGGTCACATGACCGGGTGGGTGTGGCTTGCTGGTCATGTGACTGGGTGGGCGTGGCCAGGTGACTGGCAAACCAAATACAAGTGGTTCTCACTTAATGACCGGTTGTTTAGCAAGTGTTCTAATTTATGACTGGCCTCCCCTGAGGTACTTGACCAGTTTTTTGAGTTTTGACAGCTTTAGATCAGGGGTCTAAATCCCCCCCCCCCTGCCTGTGTGTGTGAGAGAGGGAGAGAGAGAGGTTGGATCAGATCTCTCTCTCTCTCTCTCTCCCACCAACGCCAGAAAGCCACCGTCAGTCAAAATTCATATTAGTGGTCTCCGGGATTTAAAATTATGAGTTTGGTGGTCCCTGAGATAAAAAAGTTTGGCGACCCCAGATCCAAAGGGATGAGCCTGAGAGAGGGAAAGAGAGAGAGAGAAAAGAAAGAGAGAAGGAAAATAAAGAGAAAAGGGAAAGAAAGAAAAAGGGACAAAGAAAGAAGGGGGGATGGAAGGAAGGGACAGAAAGAAAAAGAAATAAAGAAGGAGGGAGGGAGGGAGGAGAAAGATAATATCTATTCTAGTCCAATCACCTGCTCCAGCAAGGTTAGAAGGGAGTGTTTGCATGTGTGTGTGTGTTCTCCTTGTAATTCACCAATACATTTTGGTTTTGCCTTCTTCAGAATTGGCACTGTAATACATTGGGGAAAAGTAATTTTTTAGGGTGGAGACCTGGTCCAATGGCTCCTGTTTAAAGCCTCAACAAAATGTGAGAGCTTCCTGATAGTCTTGGCCATGTTTCGTCCACAAAAGCTTTAATTGAAGCCAAAGAGGTTTCAATGTGCTGGCAAAGATGTTTCAATGTGAAAAGGGCCTCAGTCTAAACTAGGCCTCGTTGAATCTGATGCATCAGGTCTCTCTCTTTCTCTCTCTCCCTCCCTCCCTCTCAGACTGGCTTTGCTCTACTTTCCTGATGTGCCTGCAGGGCCAGTGCTTCGAACATGGATGGTGGATGGATGGATGGATAGATGGATAGATAGGGAGGGAGGGAGGGAGGCAAACAGACAGAACTTTTGGATGGATGGACGGACAGACAGAATGCGACAGTGGCGGCACTTTAGGAAAGCAGTGGCAGCAGCTTTTCCCAACATGCTGCCGCATTCAAGGCACCGGTTCTGGAGCATTACTACAGTCAATGGGTGAAATGCAGGGCCAGCTCCTCGAACACCCCCCTGCCACCTCTTAGCATTCCCAAGGGGGCTGGCAGAGGGGGGCGTTCGAGGCGCCGGCTGGCCCTGCAGTTTCACCCATTGACTAGCACTGCTCCGGAGCCAGCGCCTCCAATGCGGAAGTAGTGGCACATTACATGCTGCCACAGCTGCGTTCAATGCGCCGTCCCCCTGCTGCCTCTTAGTGCCCTTCTACTGGCCCTCTTGGGGATGCTAAAAGATGGCAGGAGGGCGTTCGAGGCACCGGCCCTGCAGGTTCACCCATTGATTGCAGCACCGCTCCAGAACTGGCGCTTCAATGGGTAAAACTGCAGGGCCAGCTGGCGCCTCGAACGCCCCCCTGCCTCCTCTTAGCGCCCCTCTGCCGGCCCCCTTGGGGACACTAAGACACTTGGGGACGGTGCATTGAACACTGCCACGGTGGCACATAATGTGCCACCGCTTCCGCATTGGAGGCGCCGGCTCCGGAGCGGTGCTACAATCAATGGGTGAACCTGCAGGACTGGTGCCTCAAATGCCTCCCGCCACCTCTTAGTGTCCCCAAGGGGGCCAGCAGAGGGGCGCTAAGAGGCGGCAGGGGGGTAGTGCATCGAACGTGGCCATGGCGGCACATAACATGCCACCGCTTCCGCATTGGAGGCACCAGCTCTGGAGCAGTCCTAGTCAATGGGTGAACTTGCAGGGCCAGTGCCTCGAACGCCCCCCTGCCACCTCTTAGCGCCCCCTGCCAGCCCCCTTGCCTCTTAGTGCCCCCCTAAGGCATCCCACCCCCCCACGGGGTGGTACCACCCACTTTGGGAATCGCTGCTATAGAGCACTACACACCAGAACAACTAGATACAAGGAGTTTTTCCCCCGAATACCATCACTCTGCTAAACAAATAATTCCCTCAACACTGTTCAACTATTACAAAGTCTGCACTACTATTACTGTTAATCTTCTCATCACCCCTTATCATCCATTCCCTCCCTCTTGGGACTGTATGACTGTAACTTTGTCGCTTGTATCCTTACAATTTATGTTGACTGTTTCCTAGTATGATTTGATTGCTTTATTGTACCCTATGGCTATTATTAAGTGTTGTACCTGATGATTCTTGACTCTTGATGAATGTATCTTTTCTTTTATGTACACTGCATTTGCACCAAGACAAATTCCTTGTGTGTCCAATCACACTTGGCCAATAAAGTATTCTGTTCTGTTGTATTTATTGTATTGTATTGTATTGTATTGTATTGTATTGTATTGTACTGTACTGTACTTTACTGTACTGTATTCTATTCTTATTCTATAGGGGTTTTGCACTTATATAGTATGTGATTAAACTCCAGGCATTAATCATGGACAATTACTTCCAGAGTTCTCCAACTCTTATTCCAACATACTTTAGATTGGTCCAAAGCAAATATTCCCCACCAACCGCCGAATTACAGGTAGTCCTCGACTTAAAACAGTTCACTTAGTGACCATTCAAAATTACAAGGGCATAGAAAGAGTGACTTACGGCCATTTTTCACCTTACGGCTGTTGCAGCATCCCCATGGTCACAGGAGTTACATTCGGAGGCTTGACAACTGACTCACATTTATGACGGATATAGCGTCCTTGTGTCACATTGATCCCTCTTCTGACAAGAAAAGTTCAAACGGGGGAAACCTGATTCACTTAACAACCGCATTGCTAACTTAACAACGGCAGTGATTCACTTCACAAATGGGGCAAGGAAAGCCGTCAAATGGGACAAAACTCCCTTAACACATTTTGTCACTTAGCAGAGGAACGTTTGGGCTCCGTTTGTGGCCGTTAGGGCTACCTGTATAATCTGCCTTGCCCAGTGGAGTTACCTGGAGATTCTGACTGTTTCTTAAAAGGACACCAGCAAAGATTATACAAAAGAATGGTGCTTATTCCCTTCTGCTCCCCCGAAGGGAACCAAACATGTCTTGAATTAGAAATTGACACAGACTCCCAGTGTGTTCCTGGTCAACCTATACAAGTTTAATTCAGTGCAGTGCCACCTGCTCTGTTTCTCAGAAACACACATCTGATTGGAGTCTCCCATTTCTTCATATTTGGCACATGTTCCTCAACAACACATGTGTTTCAAGGAAAAGAGACACGTGACACGCTATGAGGAATTCCTAATACCCAGACGAGACTTCCTATCCAAAAATAGCAACGTAATACAGGCTAACCATTTAGTCTCTATAAACAGATGCTGTCTATCTTAGGAAAAGGCCAAGTTCCAAGCCTGCACGGAGCTGCCGTGGTTTCCTAATATTTTTAGATATAGGTGAGTGCACTGCATATATTTAAAAAGCTAGCTAAGATCACATAAGAACCATCAATTCCTGATGCTATACCTATTCAAATCACAAAGAATATTTTTTTTAAAGTCTTCTTTATGACTTGTCCTTATAAAATGGTAAGTGTCCCTAGTTAATTGCCAAGGCTTAGTATTGTTCATTATATTCAGCAACAACCTACCAAAAACTGAAAAAAGTGAAAACATTATGAATAGAGGAAACTGGATGACCTCTGAGTGGATCCCATGAGAGCTGCCATTTGGAAAACCCACGGGAATGGCATCCATGCTACTCCTGCGATTTAAGCACTGAAAACTCCTTTCATTCCTGGGAGGGTGGCAGAAATAATCTTAATTGCACCGGGAAGAATGCAGAAAGGAGGGAGAATGCTGACAGCAATGTCTACTCACCGAACATCTTATGGGGCTGCCCAGAAGAGCATTAGGTGAGTAGACCTGGTGCAGAAAGCAGCTGCATGGGTTAAGTAAGAGCCGTCAGATATTTGAAACATGTAACACCACTGCTATGTGAACCACCACCACTGCATTGGCTGCCAGTGTGTTTCTGCGTGCAATTCATAGCCTTTCATGGCTTGGCACATAGTTTACCTAAGGGACTGTGGACTGTGTTCTCCAAGTCACTTCTACCTGTCCAATTGGGTCCAGCAGGATGGACATTTTACAGATCCCCTCAGCCAAGGAGTGGGCTGGTCAGGCTGGTCAGGAAATGGGCCTTCTCTGCTGTACTCCCTGCCCTCAGGATGATTCCAAGCCTGCTGGCCCTTCATAAATTCCTGATGACTTGGTTATGTACCCAGTCATGGAGGCCCAAGTGTGTTACAGGTTCCATTTCTTGGCTATATCAACCCTCATGGTCACAGTTTTATTCAGTGACCATACTGTGTATATTTGTTTTGTATGGTTTAATTGCCTTTATGTTTTTTACAATGTACCTGACTTACATACAAATTCTATGTAAATGGATCTCGTTCTTAACCCAGGTGACTGTCTCTATTTATTTTAATCAATTGGTAGAGATGTCCATCTCAACAAGTGGCTCTGGGCAGCAAGCAATAACAAATGGAATCCTAAATACAAAAATTAAAATACACAGCAGTAGAGAAAAGCAATACTCAGTAGTAGATTCCTTTCTGTCACTTTTCCCCTTAAGGCTTTTTTTTAAAGACTTAATTCCCAACACTTCACATTCAGAAAAAGCAGAGAAGAAAAAAATGTTCCATTTTTTTTTCTCGGTAGCCTTATGAAGCAACTTAAAATGGAGGAAGTCCACCATTTGGATCCACTCCATTTGAAAAAAAGTGACCCACCTATATGCATCTAGCACAATCTTCCTTAAGCTAAAAGAAGGGAGATAGAATGGAATAATCTGGACTCTTGAGATGACTGCTTTAACAATCCCATTGCTCATAGAGCTATTTTTGAGGAACAAATCAAATAATGACTAACCTACGCACTCCAAGAGGGTAATCTGCCGAGCCACTGTTCTTTGTACCAGGAAAGGCAGCCCTGAGCCGCTCCCAGAGGTACAGGAATGGTCCAACAGGTCCTGTGTAGAAATAACAAACGTTATTAGGGGGTTCATTGCAACAGAAGCAAGCATTCGTGCCATTCTATCTTCCCAGGGAACCTTTTTTATTGGACAGATATGGAAATAATATGACTAGTTAAGAGCATTTAGCACTAGGATGGACACCCATCATCCATTGGGTCATTTTTTCAGAGATATTTCCATTCCACAGAAGCAGAATGACCACAGGTGGTCGGCAAAAACGCAGTGACAGTGGGAACAATTTCCCACTGGCTTCCCCAATGGGTTTTGTGAGAAGCTAGCAGGAAACATCAGAAGCTTGCTTGCTTCCTTCCTTCCTCCCTCACCGCCTTGAGTGCCAGCTTCCCCATTTACTTTGCTTATGGGAAGCTTGCAGGGAGAAAGTCAGTGGGCAAGTTAGCAGGGTCTGGAAGGATGCATGAGGGTGAGCAAGAGTTGCTGTATGGATCAGGGAAGATGTGCAGAAGGGCAGCACGGGTCAGGAAGGGTCTTTTGGGGAGCACCAAATGCTCTACATGAGTCAGGGAAGGCATGGGGGGGGGCGGGGGAGCAGCACAAATCAGGGAAGGTACAGGGGTTTGGCACAGGTCACGTGTGGAATGGGCCAGGAAGGCTGCGGGGAAGTTCCTTTTTCCCTGTTCCTCTCGTTCTTCCCTTCCCTTGCCAGCAGACAGGTAAGTGGCTACTGTGGGGTGGGGGTGGGTGGAGCAAGGGATTGCAAGATTGCCTGGGAAATTGTTACAGAATATTGAAATTGAAGATCATGTGATCCTAACACTGTAACACTGAAGCAGCTACAATTTCACCAAATTTCATTCCCTCAGGGTCCTTGATTTTGAACACATTCTGTCAGTTAGCCCATTGGAGGTACCCTGATTCAAAAACTGCTGCCCTGTGATGCACCATTTTGCCCAATTAAAGATCATAATGAAAGTTTTAGTAGTATATAAACACTGCAATCTTATACAGGTTTATTGGGAAATAAATTCTATAGAACTCGTAAGCCTTAGTACCCGGGTGACAAGTTTGTCTAATTATTTTTCAGTATCTACTGAGTTACTGATCTAATGGACATTCTTGCTAGCTTTGTAATTCATCACAGCTGTAACTAAACTTTCAGTATCATATTACTTCTCCGATTTAAGTATACAATTTTCATTTCCCGCTTACTAATTTTGAATCCACTGCCAATTTTTCTTTTCTTTTTTACAGAAAATGATGATCTTTCTTAAATGAAAGTTTGAGATTTCCAAAAAATTTCCAAACTGCAAACTATATTCCTGTGCAACTGTAGAAAATTACAAACTTATTATATTTTATTGGAAATCTGCCAAATAGAATCACAGTTGCTTTTCACAGATGCTAGATATAGATGATAATGAAATATAACTCTTTCCAATTGTTTATTCAGATTTCAAATGCAAAGCATTACTGAATTCTGAAAACCCTTCCTATTTAATACAATTTAAAGATCATAAAAACACTGATCACTGTTGTTAGCTTGGAGGATACATATAGAAGTTCTATAACAAATTTTAAAAATATAATTCTATAGAGATATGCTTCATATACACAAGTTACGCTCGGTGTAGTCATGTCAAAATATAAATACTGCAATGTTGCTGTGTCATATTACCATTTAATAGGGATTTGAATATAATACATATGCTAAGAATCATTAACAAAACAATACTATAAAAGCAAAGCATTGCAGCCTGCTCATCTCCTTCATAAACATGCTTCAAAAATTGCTGGAAGCAACCAACAATACTTTCTATGGTCTAAGAATTCTTGTGAAGTTTCAGTGGAGGTCCTCAGATTTCCAGAAGACGTTAAGAGGTGCAGCTTTTCAATAAGACAGTCCTATCTCTCTGTCTGTCCGTCCGTCTTCCTACCTACCTACCTGCCTAAACTTACAAAACTGGAACAGCTTTAAAATTAAAATATTTCATACTATATATAAAGTAAAACTAAATGACATCAATGCATTGCTAATACATTGCTAAATGTATTTCATTTACCAAAGTTAGTGAAAGTCCGCCTTCTGTTCATCTAAATCATTAATGGTAAATGTTAACTTGATTGATAAAGAAGACATTCTTATTCTTACCATAGGGAGACATTTAGACATTATTTCTGGAATATTTCTTTTGTTGCTGTATCATTGATATACCCAATAAGCAATTTTAGGTACTATGGAGACAGCGCACGTAGTGAATCTTTTCATATCAACCGCCTCCTTTCAATATGCTTCCATTTTTTTCACACCCACCACAGATGAAAATTGTCTGCCCTCGAACCCACGCATCTCCAGCATAAATATGTTACTAAATTTTTCATGTTTTAAATGTCTCAAAAACAAGTTATGCAAGGCCTTCAAATGTTTTGTCGAGATTGCCATTTTATTCAACGGGGTAAAACCAACCTGCCAAATATTCTCATTTAACTCAATGCCCACCCACTTCCAATTACTGTGCTACTTCACTTTCTACATCTTCTGCTTTTTTTTTTCTTCCCCCAACACCACTAGGTATTTTTCCTGTGCCTTTGGACAGTATTTTCTTATTTTGTATTCCGAGGTTGTGCACAACTCTTCATACCAATCTAAATGTGTTTTATACAATTATCCTTTGCTAGGAAATAATTTAAGACTCTCATCTCAAACAGTCCGAAGAACAATCCTGCTAAATCCTCAAGCATGTACGATAATACATTCCCATTCATTCAAGACGTATAAAAGGAGGCTTGCTTTAATAACTACCTAGTTGTCAGGTTTCGATTTAGGAGGTCTGCCAGATAGAAGAGATGCAGTGAATTTCAATGAATATTGTGTCTTGCCCAGCGATTTTTTTTCCCTTAAGAAATATCCATATGGGAGCCCTGAAAGGAATGTTATTCCTGGATTTTATTCTTGTCATTAGATTTGTTTAAAGCTAGCAAAGCCTAACTGTTAATGTACTATACACAAAAGGCTGTTTTAAAAAAATCTCAGATGACTTAGACGTGATAGCTCAGAAAACGTTTTTGAGTTTAGCATTTTGACAAAAAGCGTTCCTTTTAAAAAATTGTCAGGTCAGAACTGGAGAAAGTATTGACTCGACCTTATGTCGTATGCAGTATAAACCATGCGTTAGTTTAAGTCATATCGACATAGCCACAAGGTGGCAGCAAAGCAATTTATTTGAAAGCAAAGCAGGAAGGGGGAGAAAGTCTTCTTCTGTTAAAAGAATGGCACAGGATCAAGGAGTATACAAAAACATTCTCCAAACTGGAGTTAAGTATGTACTGTAACTCTCAAAACAAGCTCTCAATTTTGGGGAGAAATGGGCCAATATTAACCTAAACCCTAATCAAAACTCTCTTAACTGGAACACAACAAATTTGAGTATCTGACCAAGTTAATCTATATTATATTAAGATGGTCTAAAGCTAGATGAGAAATCAGTATACTGGCCTAAAGGGGTAGTTCCATTCTCCATTGCTGAAACTATCTGGGTGATTTGGATCAGTCAATCTTTTTCTGCCCACTCTCTATTCAGGAGACTTTTGAGGATATAATGTATGCAAACGTAAGATCTTGGAAGAATGATAACATTAATAGTGTTCCTTTAGCCACCCTACGTGTTGCGTTCAGAAAAGACTGAGCTGAAGTCTTCACTCCGGTCCGCGTTTCCAGCAGGAACACGGACCGTTCCTATTGGCTGATGCCGTTGACAGCTGACTATAAAAGGGAGCTGTCAAACAGCATCAGCTGTTGCCTGCCAGGTGGCTGCCCTGTTAGCGCGGCAGTCGCGGCAACCCTTTATTGTTATAATAAAGTTAACAGCGAAGTTGCTCCATGTTCGCCTCAGTCATTCTGCCGCTCCACAACACTACGTATTTGGCTTTGTTTCATGGAGTGAGACCAAACGTTGCCCAAGATTCTCAGAATTTGCTTGAGCTGCCTTGGGCTTAAACTCAAAAATTTAAATCAGGTCACTTAAATTTTATAGAAATCTTTCTTTTATTCCAAATCATACATTCTCTGAACTAAAAGCAGTGGGTAGCTAACACCAACAATTAGCTGCCAAATAAACCCAAGCAAGGAAACCCAGAGAATTTTTGCCAAGGCTCATTTGCTTCAATCATAGCAAACCGTTCTGTTTAGTGACTGTTCGAAGTTACAATGGCATCGATCAAAATTTGGATGCTTGGCAACTGGCATGTATTTATAGCAATAGCATATAGACTTATATACCGCTTCACCGTGATTTCCAACTTCTCTAAGCATACAGTATATTGCCTCCAACAACCTGGGTCTTCATTTTACTGACCTCGGAAGGATAGAGAGCTGAGTCAACCTTGAGCCTGGTGAGACTCAAACTGCCAAACTGCTGGTAGCTGGCAGTCAGCAGAGTTAGCTGCAGTACCGCATTCTAACTACTGCGCCACTGTGACATTTATGAGGGGGACGGGGTCATGTGGTTGCATTTTGTGACCTTGGACAATGGAAATCCTGGTCTCAACTATGGTCGTAAGTTGAGGATTGCTGCAATTTCCTTGTCCATATTACTTGGGCCACATTATTGCCTCCAAAATTTCTCAAGCAGAATTCCTCTTCACAAATTGTACGTGGACAGATACAGACTATGTTCAAAGCCTGTTCTAGACATGCCAATTTGTTATGGAGTCACTTGGCCATTTTCTGGAAGCTTCACAATCAAAAGCATTTATAGAGTTCATCCTTTCTCTGAAAACGGAATACTGTGTAAAAGTTTCTAATTCAAGGGACAAACTTCTGGAAATTGCCAGATCACCCTCAAAATGGACTGTTGGCCCGATTAATCAAGGTCACATGGAACATTCCAGAACTCTCTAGATAGTTCCATTCCCAGAATAATAGATTTTGCAGAGATTTTCTTTCAGCCATGCTTCTCCTTCACCTGCTAGGTGCTGCATGTATGCTTTTTTCCCCGCCTTCTTAGGAAGGAAGGATATCAGTGGAATTAGCTATGATGTGGAAAAGAGAAACATGCTGGAGCAGGAATCTGCTGGGAATAGGGAGGAATCAAATGTTCAGTTCCCAGAGCGAGCCTTTTTCCCTAGACAGTCATTGTGGCTCCCTGGTCTTCATTAAACAGAATATACCCTGCCTCACAGAAATGTGACTGTGTACACTGTGCAATCTATTCCCTTAAGGACACGTCTGAGATACCTTACAGTAACTATGGAAACACTACCTGTTTGCTGCTTATAACAGCCAACTATGATCACATAAAGTTGCTACAAGAGGAAAGCTGCCTCTACAGGATAAAAATAATAATAATCTGTGGTAAAAAGCATTATTGTTAAAGGTCTCTGTATTCCTTCCATGAAGTTCACAAACTCTTGAGGTTCTAGACCCACTGCTATACGTCAAGCTAGTTATAGAGATATTGTAAGGATTTGTGATGCTACAATTACTTTATTTGTTTGTCAAATCTGTATACCATCCATCTTATCCAGAGCTATTCTGGGCCACTTGCAACACCTTGTAAGTATAGTTATACGGATAAAGTTCCACTGGGAAATTCAAAAAGTCAGGAGAAACTCATTTGAATTCATTGCAATTATTTGCATACTAAAACACTATAAACCTGTTAATGGGAGCCAATCCCTCAGTTACTAAAACAGACATATATTGTTTTCCTGTTAATCTTTTAACCTCCTATTTGTTTAATTCTGCTGTGATGTATTTTATACTGCAAAATCTCAGATTAAGGAATTGCCTCCTTGCATTCTGTAAGGCGCTTCACGCTTCATTGATGGCCTTTCATTTTAAAAAAATAATTCCATTAATCGATTTTAAGTAGATAATAAAAAATATACTCAAAGAACGAAAAAATAAACAAGCTGGAAAAAAAAAAGATGGAAAAAGAAGAAATTAAAAATACCAAAACACACACTCTTCCTCCCCCTCCCTCTCATAGATGGATGGATGGAGAGAGAGAGAGAGAGAAATATGGGTTCCAATATCCCAGTCAGCAATTACACATACATTCCTAATTAAACCAGGCTCTCATTATAATACTCTTCCTTTCTATATAACCCATTCTTTCTAATCATCAGAAATATAAACCACAAAGTCATTTTCTTTCTCACACAAATAGTCTATAAGAGGTTTCCACTCATTGGTGAATATCAGTGATGATCTTTCTCTACACTAAGCCTTTCATGTCGACTATAGCTCATTCACCTGGAAGTAAGATACATGGGGCTCCATCACAGACAGTCTAATTTTCATTCATCCACAATTCCTTTCGGTAGCCAAAAACCCAACACAGTTCTGAAGAATATAACAAAATAACAGTTGCAATGGATCTATCCTTCATTATCCTATACCAGGGTGAGCACCCTGAAGGTTTTCAGCTCTTGCCAAATACCAATGCTTGCCGTTCTGATTATAGTTGGGACTGACATCATCTGGAGATTTGTTAACAGACTGTTCACTACTTGCAATAGAAGAAACTTTCAGACAGAATCCAGAAAAGGCATTTTCACTGAGATCTAGAAAGCTTTCTTTTTCAGTTTATAACCAAACATGCAGCATTAGTTTCACCCACTCTTGTATCCAAGTGGCCCCAGCTTTAAGTATGCTTTTAAGTAACATATTGGAGGCTTTCCAAGGGGTTATGTAAATAGTTCCAGGCATTTTTACTCCTCCCCACCCCAATAAAACAAAAATCTTCCTGCAGACCAAACTCTACCTGGCATGTCACAGGTGTCGTTCCCACAGGCAGTACACAGGTTCAATAGTTCAAAAAGACAGAGGCCCTATATCTAATATGAGCGTGCAAAAACCTAAGTGCTTTTCAGTTGCACTCCGGGTTGTACCAAGGCTGCACCAACAATAACAGCTTTACTTCCCTAGATGATTCTTCCCAATTCCTAGATGGAACTCCAAGGGATCTTTTAAAAAGGATGACATTGTTTTCATAGTCCTTCTACCAGTCCTAATGACACTTCCATCATCGTCATTACTTCACAATAAGAGTCCTTGCTGAAATCCCAAACGCAGGCTGGGTTTGGGCCAATGCAACAGCTAGGCTCAATTGGGTTTGACAGTTTGTGGCTTGCTGCGCTCTGGAAACTGAAACTTTGCCTCTGCATCCTATATGAACTATAACTGCACTATGATTTTATCTATTTATTTTAAAACATAGTACACCATTAGCTCAGGTTTAGGGAATTGTATGATCCCAATCCATGAAAGCTGTATTACTTCTCAAATGCAGTTTTTAACTGTATGTCCATTCCTCATTTAGTGTGTGTGTGTGTGTGAGAGAGAGAGAGAGAGAGAGAGGGAGACAAGAGAGAGAGGGAGAGAGGGAGGGAGAGAGAGAAAGGGAGAGAGAGAGGGAGAGAGAGAGAGAGAGAGAGGGAGGGAGAGAGAAAGGGAGGGAGAGAGAAAGGGAGGGAGGGAGGGAGGGAGGGAGAGGGAGAGAGAGAGAGAGAAGATCATTGCTTGCTGCTGTCTCATTCAGATGAAGTTTTCTCATACAGCTACACTAGTGTTACTCTCAATCCTATGGGTGTTGCTGTCAAGGTGTACAAATTTTGGCTGTAATATGTGCACATTGGTCAGAAAATGAATCTTTTATTACCATGGTATTTACAAATGGTTGTTAACTGAGATTCTCGCTAAAGGAAGAGCGGGTATACTTGGAAAACTGGGTTAATAAGTAGGAATCTGTTTTTCTTCTAAGTCATTCAGGACAGTGCCAATATAGCCCTTGGAACAGCCCTTGAAGTTAGGCTTCAGCAAGAACTACTTAACGAGGCCTCCTTCTAAGTGTGTCTCAGTTTTCCCCAAATCTTCCTACGTGACATACCTTGACAGGTTTCCTATGGTTGGTTCTGGGACTGTTCTGTACAGGCAGCATGAAAGGGGACTATGCAATGCTCCATATTTTAAACACCACATTACGGGCAATCCGATTAGAAAGAAAAACAACGGAGTATTATTTGATGCTTAGTAACAGATCACAAGACAAGGATTACTTACTGCCAATGTGTTGTCGCCAACGTTTGAGGCGATGAGCCCTTCAATTGTGCCATATTCTGCGTCCCTCGAATTCAGCCTTTCCATATGGCGCTGCCGAATCTTTCTGATGATTAGCATCGTTGCCACCGAAAATACGATCAGCACCATAAAGGGAGCCAGTACAAAAATAACAAACATTTCCATGGTATAACCCATGGCTTCCCCTTGAGATGGATGCCCTTCACAAAGAGAGACAACAACAACAAAAAATATGATTAGGCAAAAGCTTGATGCAGATGGCTTTGAGAAACATGATCTAAGAACAAGACTAAAAAAAAAGAAAGGGAACCCAAGCACAAGTTGTCTCCCTTTGCAAAGGAAGAACACTCAGAAAGAAGATCATACCATGGGGACTTTTGGTTTGAGTTCCTTTGCCGACAGACTGAAACCGCTATCATGTGTGGTTTCGATCCGTGCTCGCCGCTGGAGAGCCCCAAGCCGGCTGGTTTCAGAGCTAAGCCACCCCATAGAGGTGGTGAAGAGGGGGGAGACTGCCAGCAGGATTGAGGAGAGCCGCATCTCTCCTCCTCAGCTGGCCATTACTCCCTTTCCCGAAGGCGGTTGCAGCAGCAGTCAGAAATGGCTACCTCAAAGAAGAACTCGATCGGAAAAGAATGTGCAGGAGGAAGATAAGAAGATAAGAAAGTAAGTTTTGGTTGACCGGGTTAAACTGAAAAGCAACAATGTAAGGTAGCCTGGAATTTAAACTATAAAAAAAATAACATTGTTCCCAAAGAAGATTTTGAAGTAGCGAAGGAGAGAGGGAAGGGAAAGGATTTGGTTTATTTTTCTTCCCTTCCCTATACTGACAGCTAAGAGACTTAAGCAAGAAATTGAAAAAAAATCCACTTTGACACCAATAGGCATTTAAGCTGAAAATAAAATGTCAAAGGGATAATAAAGATTCATGGATACTTAAAAGCTTTTAAAAGCAGGAAAGGAGAGAAAAAGAATAAACGGGCAGGATCTGGAAAAATGGAGGAGACTGCCTGGAACTAAAAGGAATTTACAGTGAAACCTCAACAAGATTCCTAAAAGATACATTTTAACTGAAACTTGGCAACAAAATAATAGAACCCCGAAAGAGAAAGTGGAAAAAAGAAGCAAGAAGAAATAGCTTTGGATTATTTGGGGATCTTTGGATTTTTGGTTATTGCATTTAAATGACTAAAATCAATCCGGTGGTTGTTTAAAAGTGTTTAAAATGGCACCACTTTTAGAAGAACTGAAAATGGAACTTAAAAAGTACAAAGAAGATGCACAAGAAGGGAGAGGTTCTTTTGGCTTTGTATTTCAACTCTTAGAAATGGAGATCTGGAACTATGAGAAACAACAAGAAACGCTTGCAGAACAAGAAGATTGGGACAAAGAAGAAGCCATCTTTAATGAACAAGTAATTTTATGTGGGGGGAAAAAGGAAAGGGGGGAAAGAGAATGAAAAGTTTAAGATTTGAAAAAACAACCAAAAAAAGAAGAATAGTTTGAAAAATAAGTATAATATTAGAATGCAACAGAAGAGGGGATTACAGAAGCGAGAATTAGAAGTAGAGAGACAAGGGGGTAAAAAGGGGAGGGAGAAGAAGAGGGGGCAGAAGGAAAGGAAAAGAAGTTATAAAGGACAGAAACAAGATATAGAGAAACAGGGAAAAGGTATAAGAATTGAAAGTATAAGCCTGTTTAGAGATAATGGGTGAAAACTTAACTGTAAAGGGGATTCTGCAAAGGTTCATAAGATAGTATTTTTATATTACAAATAGAAATAATTTTAGAAAATATGATTAAAATGATGGATAAATTATTTATCGTAATGTAGTGGAATGTTTGTTAATAAATAAATGAAATAAAGTGAATGAGAGAATTAAATTAGGAAAGGATGGAAACATTTTAATTATTAATGATTTATAAAATATAAGTGAAGAGAAATATGGTGGGGAAAAGAATTAATTATGGAAAGTTTATAAGTGTTCCCAAGGAAGTATGATGTTTAATTGAAAATAAATGTTAAAGATGTTAAGATTTGAATGAATATTAAAGATAGAATTGAACTGGAATGGAATGAGTGCTTTATTTACATATATTATATATATAAAATCTTTTTTTAAGAATATAGTGTGTTTTTTAAGAATGTACCAAGCAGAATTTGATTGGAAGTTATGTATTATATTGAATCTTAAAGGTACGCATTAAAGCTTAAATAAGAGTTGAATGGATAAAAGATATAAAGGTGTCATACTCCAATTAGTAACTACAGGGGAAAGTTTGTTTAATGAGAAAGGATAATATGAAATTGAAAAAGGACAGACAAAAGCATAAATATAATGATTTGAATTGAGATGAGATAATCAAAATAAAGTTGAAAAATTTAAAAGAGGGTAAAAACTACGTAGAAAATGTAAAACAGTAATAGATATGGAATAGAACACAAAAATGAGCATGAAATTAAGTTTGTGTCTGTATGAAGAAGTGATAACCTGGGACCATGCTATTTTCAAAAAAAGATGTTTTATTTGTATTGTGGGTTTTTTTTTTGTGAAAACTGAAATAAACTTTTTTTTAAAAAAAAGAAAAGGAAGAAAGATCACACCATGTGTTGTTCTCCTACCACTCTCTGGAAAAGGATACTCTGGGTTTGGCAGTAGGGGGCAAAAGTGGTGTACAAAAATTCCCCATGGATACTTAAATTCACACACTTTAGGGCAAACCTGGTGCAATGAGGAGTTACGGTACAATCAGTGAGAAAACAAAGCGAGCAAGCAAGCAAGCAAAAAGCACAAAGTCATTCTCTCCAGATGTTCCATTCATCTTGGGAGTTTGTAACAACATCTACTAGTAAGATCAAGTCTTCCTTGTCAGTCATGCTGATCACAACCAGTCTCCTGCTTGGACATTTGTACCTTTTGTTCTAATCAAGAGGGGGGCAACTTTTCTTCTGTTGATAGAAAACAGTGGCTTGTATATTTGTTCTCTTTTTTTTTATCAACAAACGAACAATAATTTAAAAATATGGTAGATGAAACTACGATGTTTATGTTTCCAGTTGTTTATTGCTCTCAGACATATGTGACTGTTCTAAATTTGCAGCTTAGCATTATTCACCAATATGTGTCAATTAGGGGTTGTGACCGTTCACTCATGAATTCACGAGCCATTTATAGCAACGTTTTGGGG